TGAAGACTGTAATCTTTAATCTTCATCAGTAAGTGCTTCAAGTCTTCTTCACTTTCAGCAAAGAAGGTTGTCTCATCTGCACATTGATGGTTGTTGAATGAGTCTTCCTCCAATCCTCATCCTAAATTCTTCTTCAGACAGTCCAGCTTCTCAGATTATTTGCTCAGCATACATACTAAGTGTGGTGAAAGGATACAACCCTGACCTTTCCTGATTTTAAACCATGCACTATATCTCCTTGCCCTGTTAGAACTGCTTCTTGGTCTATGTACAGGTTCCTCATGAGCAAATTAAGTGGTCTGGAATTCTCATTCTTTTAAATGTTAACCATAAATTGTTGATCCCCATAGTCAAATGCCTCCGTATAGTCATTAAAACACATCTTCAACCCCTGCCCAGCCACACTGAAGGCTCCGGTCCTCGGCCCAGCACTTCCAAGCCTGTGGGAGATGCCCGCCTTCCATGTATTTGAGTTGTCCCACTGCTTCTTTAGGGAACATGGCCAGAGCAGGAGGCCTGGGGGTACCTGACTTCCACCAGCAGGTCCCAGCCAGCTGTCTGGGTGGATAATGGAGGCTCGGGCCCTACAGCCCGATGCTATCCCACTCCCTGGCTGCCCCGGGGAACGCCCTGCTGATGATCCACACACATCTCGTTAGGCGATCATTTCTGGGCCTTCCCATACTCGGGGTTCCACCGTACACACCCCAAGGGACACAGCAAGGGCCTGTGGGTCAGTCAGGGTCAGCAGTGCTTCTGGCCTCTTCTAAGCTGTGACCTCTGCCTGGGGGGCCCTCACAGGCGGCTTAAGCTCCTGTGGGCTCACGGGCCACACTGCTGAGGAAGTCAACCTCACTCCCTAAGCACTGAGCCCGGGAGGGGACAGGAAGGTGCAGACTCTCTGACTCGGGTGAACTGGGGTCAGTGCCCCTTGGCCCTACAGCTGCTCTGGGCTCGCCGAGCACACCCTTCCTAAAGCCAGTACTGCCCCTCCTGCAGCCCAGGGCTGTCACTCTCCCAGGCCGTGTGCGGTGGTGGTGCCCATGGTAACCTGAGTGACAGGAGTGTTTTCTGGTGGAGGACTTCCTCTTGCTGAGAGGGAGAAATGTCAGAAAAGCTAGAGTAAGAGTGATTGATCGTTCCCTGAGGCAAAGCTCCCACAGGGCCCGAAGCACCTCCCTGACATGGGGCCTGTGTGGAGCCAGGTCCTATGAGCCAGTAGCCACCCCCACCCCCTAAACACTCGGTCTAAACAGCTGGAGCTGGAGGTCCCCTAGGAGCTGGGGGCCTGGAGCTCACCAACACCCAGTGTTGCATAAAAGAGGCCACCAGAGCGTGTCGCCACATTCAGGGAGGAGCGGAGGGTGAACACCCTCAGCTCCCTGCAAACAGGCAGACTGAGGCCGTTTCATCTTCACAACTTTAATAGAATATTCTAACTATTCTGTACAAATTGGAACACCATGTTCAGATACAAACGTGGGCCAGAAGGTAAAGGCTGGGTGCGCTCCACGTGCCTGGCCAGCGGGCGCCAATGCCTGGACGGCCACCGCACACCAGTTGAGAGCAGGTCGCACCGGATCCAGGGCTTTGAAAAAAAAATAAGCGGTGGAGGCGAGAAGTGATATGCTGCTGAATACGAGATCGACATTCACACGCTGGACCCAATGAGCCCCTCAACCCCAGCTGGAGACTAACATGTCCCCACACTTGGGCTACAAACCCTCAACCTGCACAGCGAGAAGCGGTCTGCACGTCATGGAAGCAGGCCCCGGCTAGCCCCCTCGACACAGGCTGAGCTACCGCTGTGCAAGCCACACCTTCCTGGGCGAGTCGCCAGGTGTCATTACAACGGCTTCGGAAATCGCAAGGATAAGCCCCAACCTGAGTGCCAAGGCCTTATGAATGTGGATGAATAAATAAACATGGAAATGAACTGATAAAGCTGTCACCTGGGAGTTGGTGTATGCCACCACCCGCCCCAGCCCCCGAGAAAGGAAAACAGAGAGAAACGTCTTAAGGAGAGTGACCTGATCTACCCGGCTCTTCAGGGACAAGCCCTAACAGGTGGCACCAGCTTCATGGACAGCACAGGGGGCATGGGCTTCCTCGCAGGAAGGGGAGCAGAGTCCAAATGCTGGGCAGCCCCCGTCCCTGCGAGTGGCCTGTTGCCCCACCCACCCCTGTCCTCCCCTCGTGGTCTCTCCACACCCAAGAGCAGGGCTGGAAGCACACTGAGCCCAGGTGCCCAAGGCAACAGAGGTGGCGGACAGACTCTCCTTACTTCTGAACTGCCAATCAAGTTGCCACTGTACAAGTTAAGCCGAATAATAAAGAGAAAGAAAAAGGTGAGTGAAAACCATGCACGGGAAAACGTTAGGTGTGAGCGCCGTCAACGCGGCTGGCCGCCGCAGGGCCAGCTGAGGTGTCCCGACGATCCTCTTGTCACTGCTGCTTGCACTCGGCGGGCTGGCGGGGATCCTTCTAGGAAGGAAAGAGGACAGCGTCTCAGGAGACCTCCTCAGGTTCTCATCAGAGACACAAACCGCTTCCTGCACATGTGCTTTCAACAAGGGCAACCAAACAGCCAGCTACCTCTTCTCAGAAAAGCCACAATGGGACTGCCTTTGTCTCAGAGACGTGCTGGCCACGGGGTCAAAAGGACAGGGGCAGAGGGAACCTGTGGCTGCCTGGTCACCAAGCTGGCAGCCCTGGGAGTTGTGTGAAGAGGCCACCCATGGAGCAGGATAGACACCTGCTCCGCTAAGGCTTCTGTACCAATAAGCTAGTGTGTGACTATGGCTTCCAACTGCGAAGTGACAATGACTGACTGTATCACCTGACATGCAGGGAGGCCACGGGATTCCTGCACTTCCTGCCTCCAAAGGCTGCTGGGAATGGTGGCAGCACCCTTGACAGCGTTCACTGGACCTCCAGCTCCTACTTGGGAAACCAAGCCGCAGGGTGAGCTGAGACACAGAGGGCTAAGTCACTGCCCTGAGAAACAGCACACACGGCTGGCCCAGGCCCAGCGAGGTACTGGCCAGCCCCCCAGGAAGGCCTCCTCACTGCTGCCTGTCACACGTGCAGCTGAGCGCTGCCCAGAATACAGGCTTCAAACAAAGGGAGCCTACAAAGGGGAAGAGCCTGCCGGCCTGGGCCCCAGTATGTTGTGTCCACTTCCACCCAGGTGTGTGCAGAAAGAAACTGGGCTAATAAACAGGAAGCCCGTAACACAGCTTTGTAGTGTGACACAGTGGGAACTAGGCAGACGCCAGGGTGGTGGTGGGGGCAGCCTTCCACTCTCTCTCTCTGCGTGGCTGTTAACTCGATATTGTCTAATTTATATTATTACACTGAATAAATTACGTATTGTGTCCTACCACAGGAAGTCTAACCATTAACTTGGGGGAGAGGCCACAGTCCTTACTACAAGCAAGTGGAAAGCAAACAGGACCAGTCCACGGCCTGTCTAGAGGCCTAGGAGCCCCCTGAGGAAAGCGCTGGGCCAGCATGTCCAAGGTGGGCTGCTGTGTCCCCAGGCCAGGCGCCCACGGAGGCACACCACTGGGCAGAATGGTGCCTGCTCTGCCACTGGCCTCCTGAGGACGAGCGGCAGAACCCCACTGTGATCTGGGCCCATGCCAAGGACAGCGCCAACCCGGCAGAGCCCCAGTGTGTCTGCATGTGGGACACATGGCGGGTAGTGCCCGTGGTTTCCCACCTGTCGGCCGCTGTTACTCCCCCAGACTGACCAGGGCCCATCCCTTGGTGCTGAATGACCCCCCAGCAAAGGGAGATAAGTGTATTCTACATCACAACTGAGAGACCACTTGCCCAGCTGGACCACTGAGGAGGGTGAGGAGACGCGCCACCACCTATGTGAGCACTCAGGCTGGCGACTCATGACACATGACAAATGCGTATGAACATGAAATGCTCTCCTCTCCACATGCTACTGGCCTGAATGTGAGACTCGAGAAGCCATGGTTTGGTAGGTTCACCAGCCACCTGAGGGTAGGAAGGCCTGCCACCAGGCAGAGCCCTGGAGAACGTAAGAGAAACTGCGAAGCAGGCTGACATCATCTCACCACCACGTTTTAGTCCAAATCTGCAGCAGCCTCCTCCTCTCCTACAAAGCCAGCCCCAGATGGGGGGAGACTAGAGGCAGCCAGACTCCCAGGGTACAGGCTAGGTGGCCACTCAAGGTAGCAGGGCAGAGCCCAGCTCCACACAAGGGCACTGTCCAGAGCTCCCAGACATGGCTGCTCCTCTCACGGCTTCCTGCCTCCACTCTGGCCCTTGCCAGGATGGTCCTGCGTCCTGAAGCAGGAGGAGCAGAGCAGGGCTTAGGGCAGCGACAGCGGCGCAGCTTCCCCTCACATCGGACACTCATTCCAGCCAACACTGCTGCTCCTGTCTTCAGCAGGGCACGCTCTCCATCAGCCTTACACCCACAGACACCAGGAGACTGTCAAGTAGACGACTCTGGTTCTGCGTGTGCCTGTCCATCTGCACTGCACTCTGACTGAAGAATTACAGACGGCCAACAGACACCCCGTGAAACACTCAAGGCATCAACAGGGACCAGCAGCGAAAGCCACTAACCCATCGGGATGCAGCCCAATCTGGCTGAGGAGCCCAAATGGAGGGGGCTCTTCAGAAGACCCTGTATGCATGGCCACCTGTGGGTGGCTGACCTCCCCAGACGCCTCTCCTCTGCCCTTTCCTGGAGGGCAGAGTCTCCATCCAGGGAAAGGCACAAGAAACGCTGGGTCCAGGAAGCAAGGACCAAACCAACCTGCTGTGTGTTGCGGGCGGCCTTCCTGGAGCTGTCTCTAAGTGTACCCAGCAGACTGCTGGCATGAACCCTGTCTCTGGCAGATACCGTGCCGTACTCATCACCCACTGCATGCGCTTTACCCAGGGTCAAGACAACAGAGTGGGTCAAGTACAAAGAAGCAGTGTGGGAAGTAGGTATGAACGGAATTCCACCTTACCTAGAAACGCATGAATGACTAACAGACAAAAATTACACCTAAACGGGAAAAAAACGGAAAGGAACTGTCAGCATGAAAGAAAATGAAATGCACCAAGTTATACAGGAGGCGGCGGCATCAACGTCTCATTATGTGGAAGAACTGCTGCCTACTCAACCTGAGACAGGTCCACTGGCCTGGACATGCAGCTCTAGAAACGGGCAGGAAACACTCACTTCCCTGGTAACTGCCTCCTCCTTCCAACACCAAAAACATTCCTTCCTGCTTGTGCAGACCCTCATGTGTGGACACCATGAGGGGGTTCACAGGAAGAAACAGAACCAGGACGTGTTGACCCTGGAGTCAGTCCTCCAGGATGGGACGGGCTGGGAGTTGGTCCCGATGCCCCTCCCTGACCCCAGCCACCAACCCCATCAGGGAGGCAAGAAGGTCAGGACCTGCTACTCCATGTTCAGGACTCAAGACTCACTACGTCACTGCCTGTCGTCAATGGGTGGCTGAGACGCTCCTTCAGAGACAAGGTGGTGTGAGGAGACAGCAGGTAGCTAACACAAGAGAAGCAAAGCAGGTACAAGAGAAGGGGCCCCGAGGAACAGAGCCCGGACACCAGACAGACGACCACTCAGACAGACCCAGGACAGACCCGCAAGGGCGTGTGCGCCGCCACCTTCTAGTCGGCTTTGTGGTCAAGACCAGCATAGGTCCTGAGGCCCAGAGGGCAGAACGAGCTGCACACACACCTGGTGTGCAGGTTCCTAAGACGAGGTGACATCACCACTGACGCCCAACCAACAGACAGGCCTTGTTATCTTGCCCAGCATACTGCGGCTGGGAAAGGCCGAGGCCAGGCCTCAGGGCCCCTCAGCCACTCCCACCACCCACACTGTGCATAGGCCTGCCTCCCGTGACCCACAGCTTGGGCTTCTAAGTGCCCTTCCCACCTGCATGACCCCAGACAAGTGCACATGTGGCAGGTTTTGTATCTGAAACCAGCCGCCCCTTCTGTTGTACTTCCCTGAGAAAGCGCCACTGACCACGTGGTTCTATTGAGTTAAATTAAAAAAAAAAAACGCACTGCCATCGAGTTGGATCCGACTCATACTGACCCCTCCTTGGGTTTCTGAGGCAGTATCACTATGGAAATAAGATTGCCCAACCTGCCTTCCGAGGAGTGGCTGGTGGGTTTGAACTGCCAGCCTTCTGGTTAGCAGTCAAGTGCCTTAGGCACTAGGCTACCTGACAATAGGCCCCCAAGATAAACTGTAAGCCCCAACCTCTAAAGCTTGGTTATAATCCCATCTGTATGTTAATGTGATAGGATCAGTGGAGGGCATGTCCTGAGTCCACCTCTTTCCAGATACAGAGAGATTAAGCAAGAAAGAGAAACAGAGTTGGAGGAAGAGACTGATGCCAAGTCACGTGGAGCTCTGCACGGAGGCAGGAAGCAGAAGCCGAAGAGGTAAGGACCTTCCTTCACACGGAGAGGAGAGAAAAAGCCTTCCCCTGGAGGCAGCTCACCGAGTCCACGTTTCTAACCTACTGAACTGTGAGAAAAGCAGCGGGCGCGTTAAAGCCACCCACCTGCACCATCTGTTACAGGGGCACCAGACACTTCAGACAGACCCTGGTGCTGCTGCAACAAACACCTACAACATGGAAGTGCTCTGGGAACCAGATCACGGGTGGAAGGTGCCATACAGTACAAGCCTAGAGGGCCCTGAAGAGTCTGACTGTCAAAGGCAGTTCTGGTGAGGGCTCAGGAGGAAATGAGGAGCTGAGGACTGTAGAGGACCACTCTCGTCTTTCAGGACACTTACGGCACCAGCAACAACTGCTCCTGGAAACGTGGAGGGTCAATGTCTCCCACAGACCTTACAAGGAAACGATGAACGTGTGACTGGACCGCAGAGGAAGGGTGGTGCTTTCGATGCAGTGGCAAAGAATGGGCCTGAACGATGCCCCAAAGTCTGCTGGGAAGGACAGCTTGTAAGCAATGAACGTGGATACCTGGCTGAAGAGGTTTCTAAGCTAGATCTTAAAGAGGCTGCACCGTTTCTCCTTGGTGTTTACAGTAAAACGCAAGAGGAACGGGACGGAGATCAACTGTGCAAAATGAAAACAACTTGAAGATCTGGAGAATTCTGTTGTACAAACCAAGGACCCAAGTCACAGCTCATTCACCAAGAATGTGGCTAAATGGTCTTTTGTTACAGAGATTAAGCCTGTGATTGACGGGCCTAACTAAAGAGCACAGCAGAAACCCAATGGCTCAGCGAGAGGGGAACGGAGAAAGAACCGAAGGAAGAGAGCTGTGGGCCTCGTGAAACCGTACAGGTGGGCAACAGGCCCGAGGAGCGACATCAGTTGTTCCTCAAGAGAAGGCCCTCCCCGGAGGAACCCAGAGACCAGCAGGACTGCTGGGAGGAGCAGGGGAAGCGGGGCCTTCTTGGATTCAAGGGCGGGGCCACAGCCTCCTAGGTTTCAAAGAACTGGATCTTCTGACAACTTGGTTCTGGAATGTGGTGCTGCCATTAAGGTATGCCAAGGGGATGGTGGCTACCATGCTCAAGGACAGAAGGACGGGACCTGTCCAACAAGCAGAGTTGCCACAGTAGTGGGCCTGGAAGACAGAGCCAAAGTCCTCGGTCCAGGCCCTCTACCCAGAACCTTGCAATGAAACCGTCTACCTTGGACCTGTCCCACCATAGTACTCTGGAAGCAGAAAGCTTGTGTTCCTGATCTCAGGGGTTCACAGATGAAGAGGAGGCCTGCCCCAGGATGGGGTCCACCTGAAGTCTCACCCAGATCTGACTGAGATGATTCAGAAGATGAGATTCTGGACTTGGAGTTGATGTGAGAATTCTCCAATGTGATGGGGGGCACGTGTTTTGTGTGTGGCAAGGACATGAAATTTTGGGTCCAAATGGTGGGATGCTATGGGTTGAACTGTGTCCCCACTAACTTTGTGTTGTAAATCTGGACTTCTATGGCTGCAACTGTCACCTCATTTGGGAATGGGCTGTCTTTGTTACACTGAGGGAGGGTGCAGGGTGCAGCCCAAGTCAATCTTTCTTGAGAGAGAAAGGAAATGAAAACGAGAGCAGAGAGAGCCGGCGAAGGTCTCTAAAGACCGGGACCAGAAGCCGGAGAGACAAGGACCTTCTCCTCCAGAGCTGGCAGACAGAACGCTGCCCGCGGTGGTGCTCTGAATGCGGGTCCAGCCTCCTCAGCAGAGAGAACGAATCTGTCTGTTCAAGGCCCCTTGTGGCATTTCTGTGACAGCAGCATTGAGAACTGAGACACATTCAGGAAGCAGTGGCTGTGAACACACTGGTACAGGACTAGGTGACAACACGGATCGCTTAGAGCACATTCCACTGTGGGCAAAAACCAGGAGTACAAACAGGGACTTGAACAGAGATGTAGAAACAAAAAGCCAGGGGATGTTAGTATGCTGACAGCCCACAATATGTTTAATTCCAAGAGGCAAGTAAGCTACAAACGTTACTTCATGCTAGAAAATCAGATTAAATTCTCACCACGGCCTTTTGGTTGCATCAAAGCAGCTCTGGACTTTAAAGTATAGTTGAAATGGCAAAGCGTGTTGAGTCCAGCTAATCTGATACCATAGCGAACGTTCGGTTTTAAAGGTACAGTTAATGGCAGCGCCCACTCATTTTCAAAACCTGCTGTCTTTCTTACAGCTTGCCAATTTAAATTATGAAATGTATACCTACGTTTATCTTCTGAGTATTAGCAGCCCAAGAAGAACTGCAAAATGTGCCTACCATTTCATTGTGCTGGTCATTAGAAACAGTCTTTCCTACCACTCCCCCCAACTCATCTTTACACCTTTTATAAAAATAAAATAAAAAGGTTTGCCCATATCGTCAGTTTAGCCATTACCTTAAAAGAATCTAGGAGCTGGAAGATAAAGTTGCCCTATGGACCGAGTTTACGCACATAACCCAGGGCTTTAAAAGGACCTTAGGGAGGGTTCTTCCTGATCTTTTACACTTCAGCACACAACTGTGCGAAGTTCCACAGCATAGCAAGCACACCTAGGTGGCTCCCAAATCACTAACCTTGGGGTTCATCTCGGCATCTTCTTCTTCTTCTCCTTCCTCATCACCTTCTAATTCCTGGAGTAAAAGGAGCAAACAGACAGGATTGCGTCACCACCCACCCAGGTAATGTTTCCCTTAAAAGGCAGGTCTGGAGCTCCATAGCTGACTACGGCACTTCCTCTGTACGGACACCAAAGACCAGTCTAGGGGACATTTTGTTCTCACCGTTAACCAGGAAATGAATAGCGTTCTGGAAAAGCTTACATTTTTAGATGGTATGTTCTCAAAAGCCAATTGCAAGGTCAACAAGGACACACACTGTGAGACTGCTATGTATCCATCTGGCTGTTTCACACGAGGCGGGCCTAACACTGAGAGATGCTCCGGGGAGATGACAGGGTTTCAGGAACTGTTTCTTACCTCCTCTTCTCCCTCCTCGCCTTCTTCAAACTGAAAAAAAAGGGGAGGAAGAAAAATCACTTTTAGATCTCTCAACCATGGGAGCCTCCAGCGAGACACAGCCCTGTAAGGAGCCCCTCAGCTGGGGGGACAGAGCCCTCTTCTCCCATCTCCTGGGCCCGGCTCAGCCAAAGAGCCATCAGTGTAAGTCCTGCTGCTCCAATGGGTTCCCAATTCCTGGCAATCACTCCAACAAGAGTAAGGAGTCAGCCAGCAGGGACATTGCCCCCAGGTCCCATGAGTGTTGGGCTTCCTGGTGGCACTGCAAGCCCAGTGGGCAGACAAGAGCACCACACTATCATGTACAGGAATCCCATCATGTTACATTATGCCTCATACAAGGTGAAACAAAATCTCACTTAGTAGACACATCATAAAACCTTGAACTTAAATATCTTAAATGAGGCAGAACAAAGATGAACGGGCCAAGGGAACCCCAGCCTCTAGGACCCTGGTAACAGAAGAACTAGATGGTGTCTGGCTACCACTGCCGAGCACTGTGAAAGGGATCGCGATAAGAGGTCCTGGACGGAGTGAGAGAAAAACATGGAACAATTCAAAATCACACAAAAGCCCAGGTTTACTAGTCTGATATTCCCAGCCTGTGACCCTTGAACACACTTCAGGCCTGAACTTCACACGCCTTCATGGCTGAACTTTTAGCCAAACAACAGCCAAGCCTGTAAGATGAACAATCACACCAGGGAGTCACACGCTCCTTAGAATAATCAACCACACGAGATCAAAAGGGCAGCGTATGCCCACCCAGGAAGACGGGAAAGACAGGAAGTGGGAAGAAAGCTGTTACACTGGGGGATCACAGTTAACGTCACAAAGAAAAACGTCTATGAACTGCTGAACAGGAAGGATTAAGGAAGACTGGAAAAGAATTGATCCTTTGGAGTTGTGGTGTTGGCAAAGAATATTCAAAGTAACATGGACTACTAAAAGAACAGATCTGTCCTGGAGGAATTTCAGCTGCAATGCTCTTTCAAAGTGAGAATGGCCAGACTTTCTCTCTCCTACTTTGGTCATGCTCTATCAACTTCTACCGGAATCACAATGAAATCATCAGCAAGTCATAAAAAAGGTCCCTCTGGGAGGACGTCCCAACTAGAGGTGGCTGGCCCTAAATTCAAGACTCCAGAGTCCAAAGATACCACGAAACTGACTCCCTCACACTGTAAGATCAGATACAGACCCCAAATGCAAACTGCAGCCCAGGCCTGAGACCACTGGGGCAGCTCCTCTGCTGCGAGCAGCCCTCCCTGTTCCTGAACCCACACACACGCTCTTCAGACACGTCCCTGTGGAACTGAGAAGACTGCTGTGGTCAGCACCCTACCGCCACCCTCTGACCACACAGCAGCCCCTCCTCCCTCCCCTGCTAAGTATCCTCCTCCAGCTGGGCCCTGACAAGGAAAAAGGCCGTCCGCAGTCATGAAGCAAGGAGACTTGGGAGGGCCTGCTGGGTCAGGAGTGAACAAGCTCCAGGCCGTGCTGCCGAAGATCTGAATGTCCTATCTTACCCTGGAGGAGTTGCTCCTTTAAAAGACCCACAAGGGGTTGTACGGTCTACCGACCACTTGTCCAGAGCAATGGTTTTGCAACGGGGCACAGGGATCCAACACCAGGCCCGGTACTCCTTTCGTCTGTTAATGAGCTCTTAGTGCTGCTGTTGTTGTTAGGTGCCGTCAAGTCGTTTCCGACTTACAGCAACCCTATGTGCAGTAGAACCAAACACTGCCTGATCCCGTGCCAGCTCCACGATCCATGCTATACTTGAACCCACTGTTGCAGCCACCATGTCAATCCATCTTGTTGAAGGCCTTACCCTCTTTTGTCGATTTTTTTTTTTTTTGACCTTACCAAGCATGACATCCCTCTCCAGGGGATGGTCCCTTCTAACAACATGACCAAAGTAGGAGAGACAAAGTCTGGCCATTCTCACTTTGAAAGAGCATTGCAGCTGAACTTCCTCCAGGACAGATCTGTTGTTCTTTTAGCAGTCCATGGTACTTTGAATATTCTTTGCCAGCACCACAACTCCAAAGGATCAATTCTTCTCCAGTCTTCCTTAATCCTTGTCCAGCTCTCACATGCATATGAGGCAATTGAAAATATCATGCCTTGTATCAAGTGCAGCTTAGTCCTCAAGGAGACATGCTTGCTCCTCAACACTTGAAAGAGTTCCTCTGCTGCCAACTTGTCCAGTGCTATATGTAGTCTAATGTCCTGACTTTTGCTTCCATTGGCGTCGATTGTAGAACCAAGCAATGCGAAGTCTTTGACAACCTCAATCTTTCCTTCACTTATTGTAATGATGCTTATTGGTCCAGTTGTGAGGACTTTTGTGCTTTATATTGAGAGGTATTCCATACTGCAGACTGTGTTCTTCAGTATTCATCAGTAAGTGTCTCAAGTCATCCTCACTTTCAGCAAGCAAAGTTGTGTCATCAGCGTATCGCAGGTTGTTAATGATTCTTCCTCCAATCCTGATGCCACATTCTTCTTCATATAGTCCAGCTTCTTGGATTATGTGCTCTGCATATACATTGAATAAATATGGGTAAAGGATACAACCTTGACATACTCCCTTCTTGATTTTAAACCATGCATTGTCCCCTTGTTCTGTCTGAATGACAGCCTCCTGGTCAAGGAACAGGTTCCTCATGAGCATTATCAAGTGTGCGGGAATTCCCATTCTTCTCAATGTTATCCACAATTTGTCATGATCCACACAATCAAATGCCTTTGCAATAAAACACAAGTAAACATCTTTCTGATATTCTTTGCCTTGAGTCAAGGTCCATCTGACAACAGCTATGATATCCCTTGTTCTCTACGTCCTCTTCGGAATAGCTTGCAGGTCTGGAAATTCTCTGTCAATATACTGTTACAACCGTTTTTATATCAGTAAGATCTTACTTGTGTGCGGTATTAATGATATTGTTTGATAATTTCCACATTCTGTGGGATCACTTTTCTTTGGAATGGTTACAAATATGGATCTCTTCCAGTCAATTGGCCAGGTAGCTGTCTTCCAAACCTCTTGTCATAACCAAGTGAGTGCCTCCAGTGGGGCATCTGTTTGTTGAAATATCTCAGTGGGTATTCCGTCAATTCCTGGAGTCCTGTTCTTCGCCAATTCCTTCACTTACAGCTTCGACTTCCTCCTTCAATACCATTGGTTCTAGATCATATGCCACCTCCCGAATGGATGAAGATTTACCAGTTCTTTCTGGTACAGTGACTCTGTGTATTCCTTGCATCTTCATTTGATGTTTCCTGCATTATTCAATATTTTTCCCATAGAATCTTTCAATATTGCAACTCAAGGCTTAAATTTTTTCCAGTTCTTTCAGCTTGAGAAATGCTGAGCCTCTTGTTCCCTTTTGGTTTTCTAACTCCAAGTCTTTGCACATTATAGTAACTGGCTTTGTCTTCTCAAGCTGCTCTTTGAAATCTTTGGTTCAGCTCCCTTGTCATTTCTTACATTTGCTTTAGCTACTCTCCACTCAAGGGTAAGTTTCAGAGTCTCTTCTGTCATCCACTTTGGTCTTCTTTTCTCATCTTCTTAGTGACCTCTTGCTTTCTTCATGGATGATGTTCTTGATGTCATCCCACAATTCTTCCGGTTTTCGGTCACTGGTGTTCAATGCGTCAAATCTATCCTTTAGATGGTCTCTAAATTCAGGAGGGATATATTCTAGATCATATTTTGGCTCTCGTGGACTTGTTTTGGCTTTAACTTCAAGCTGACCTTGCATATGAGCAATTGATGGTTTGTTCTACAATCAGCTCCTGGCCTGGTTGTGGCCGAAGATACTGAGCTTTTCCATCGTCTCTTGCCACAGACGTAGTCAATCTGACGCCTGTGTGTTCCATCTGGTAAAGTCTACGTGTACAGCCACTGTTTATGTTGTTGGAAAAAATGTATTTGCAATGAATAAGTCGCTGGTCTTGCAAAATTCTACCATGTGATTTCCAACATTGTTTCTGTCACGAAGGCCAAATTTTCCAACTACCGGTGATTCTTCGTTTCCAACTTTTGCATTCCAGATACCAGTGATAATTAACACATACTGATGGCATGTTCCCAAGTGTAGTGAGGTTCACAACAATTGATCACAGCCAGTTACATATTACTTTGTTCCTTCTCCACTTCCACTGCTTCACTTGACCGGTCTATGGGAGCTCTGATAGCGTAGTGGCTAAGGCACTTGACTGCTAACCAGAAGGCTGGCAATTCAAACCCACCAGCCACTCTTCAGAAGGAGTCTACTTCTGTAGTGATACTGCCTGGGAAACCCAAGGAGGGGTCGCTATGAGTCAGGTCCGACTTGACGGCACATAACAACAACAACAACGATGGCATGTTCGGTCAATTTCAGACTACAGAAGTTGACAAAAATCTTCCATTTCTTCATCTTTAGCTTTGGTGGGTGGTATATAAATTTGAATAGTATTAACGGGTTTTTCTTATAGACATATGGATATTATCCTATCACTGACAGCACTGTACTTCAGGACAGATCTTGAAACATCCTTTGTGATGATGAATGCCATGCCATTCCTCTTCAAACTGTCATTTCCGGCATAGCAGAGCATATGGTTGTCTAATTCAAAATGGCCAAAACCAGTCCATTTCAACTCACTAACGCCTAGGATATCAACTATGCGTTCCATTTCATTTTTGACAACTTCCAATTTTCCTAGATTCATACTTCGTACATTCTATGTTCCAATGATCAATGGATGTCTGCAGGTGTTTCTCCTCAATTTGAGGGTGCCATGTAAGCAAATGGGAGCTCTGATAGTATTGTGGCTAAGACACTTGACTGCTAACCAGAAGGCTGGCAGTTCGAACCCACCAGCCATTCCCTGGACGGAAGATGAGGCAATCTACTTCCGTAGTGATACTGCCTTGGAAACCCAAGGAGGGGTTGCTCTGAGTCAGGTCCGACACCATGGCACATAAAAACAACATGACAGAAAATGGAGGTCTCGAAAGCTTTACCTTATCCATGAGTTAAGATTGGTTTTACTCTGATGATGCAACTCTTTCGTGGTCCTATTTTGAGAGCCTTCTAACCTAAATGACTTATCCTCCTCCCTACTGGACAATGTTTCTGGACTACTCGTAAAGTTGCGCAGTAATATATCAGATAGTTTCTCTGCTATTTTATAAGGTTTTCCTTCAATTCTTTGAGAAGTGGATGGCCTACTCCTTCCTAACCTGTCTCAGTCTGCAAGCTGCATTGATAACTCTGTACCGTGTACACCTCGCTGGGTTTGAAAACACTGGTGGCACAGCCTTAAAGACTCACAGCAACATGTCACCACAGTAGGACAAACCAATAGACAAGTTTGTCTCCCTTTGTTGTTGTTGTTGTTATGTGCCTTCGAGTCAGACCTGACTCATAGCGACCCCTCCTTGGGTTTCCCAGGCAGTATCACTACGGAAGTAGATTGCCCCATCTTCCTTAGCTGTTGGAAACCTCTCCAACCTCCCCTTACCTGGATCCCTACTGCTGCCTCCTCGCTCTGTCCTGGTCCCTCTGGCCTTTTTCTGTCTTTTCCCCTGCTTTTCCGCCTTGCCACTTTGGGGTGTGGCCTGGGTTCCCTCCCCTCACCTGGATTCTTGCGGCTGACTCCTCCCCTCTTAGTGTATACCTGGTATCTGTACCGTATCTGACATGATTCTAACCCCTCTAAAGGCACAAGGATGAACTCAATCCATCCTACAAGACCCCGGAGTCATCGCCCAGCCGTCATCTTAACATAGAAAGACAGTGGCGCACCAAGAGCTTGCACGGCTCCACACGGCAGGCCTGAGAGTCAGATGCAAATGGCTGCTTTGTGCCCCCACTCTTAACCCCCAGACATGGTACACTGGCAACATCTGTGCTGGATACTCTGGGCCCAAATGAGCACCCATGTGCAGGTCAGACACGTACCTGCATGCAGGGAGTTTAAGTATATGAACACACATGTGCTGCAGACTCAAATGTTTAAACTGGTGAGTGTAGATCAAAAAAGTTTGGAAGCCACCGATCTAAAGTTAAGTCCTGGTGGTGCAGTGGTTAAGGCGCTCAACTACCAACGAAAAGGTCAACAGTTGAACCCACCAGCTGTTCCGCAGGAAAAAGATGAATCTATAAATATCTACAGCCTTAGAAATCCTCTGGGGCAGTTTCATACTGTCTTGTAGAGGTGCTGGGAATCGAAAGGAAGATGGGGCGATCTATTTCCCTAAAGATTTATAGCCTCAGAAACACAAAGGAGGTCACTATTAGTCTGAATCAACTCCATAGCAATGAGTTTAGGGTTCTCGTTTTTGCTTCTGTAAAGACCAGCAGCCTAAGAAGCCTGCTGGGGCAGTTCCACTCTGTCCTTTAGGGGCGCTGTGAGTCAGATTTGACTCCACACAGTGGGTGTGGTTTGGGTTTTGCTTCCATAAGATTGACAGCCTTGCAGACCCTGTGGGCAGTTCCACTCTGTCCTCTAGGGGCGCTGTGGGTCTGAATGGACTCCACTGCAGTGGGTGTGGTTTGGGCTTTGCTTTCGTGAAGACTGACAGCCTTGGAGACCCTGTGGGCAGTTCCACTCTGTCCTCTAGGGGCGCTGTGAGTCAGAATCGACTCCCCCTCAGTGGGTGTGGCTTGGTCTAGAGATGTGTGTTCCATTGCATGGCCACTGATCACACATGCAGCACGTGTTGTCCTTGTGCACCTCACGGTGCAGACTGCACCGTCTCACCGCAGGGACAGCACTTGTCCAATCCCCACTCACAGCTGTGCTGCTCCCCAGCATAGAGGAAAGGCTGAACTTCAAGAGTCAAATGAGGAGGCTCAGATGACGACGACAAGCCCTGGCTAGCGGGAGAGGAGAGGGAGAAGCAGGCCCCCACCTGGCTCCTTGGCAGGGAAACCTCACAGCCCCCACGGTCACAGGACCCTGAGACAGCTAGTGGAGCAGCCTGCAAAGCCCACTTCCGGAACTCGCCCTAAAGGAACAGCTTTCCACACACCAGGAGGCGCAGTCTGCCTGAGGATCGGCCCTGAGGGAGAACGGGTCCCAGGACGACCGCACTCAGAGGTCACACAGCCAGGGAAGAGTTCATCTTCCTCTCGCCCAAGAAAGGCGGTGCGGTTTTTCCCACGGACCCTGGGCTTCTGTTCTTTTTGGAGGAGGCATCATAGGCCAGCAGAGTGTACCTCACTGCCCATGGTGTGGGGGGCCAGACCTCCCAGTGGCCACAGGCTCCAAGGCTGGCCCACATGAGACTTGCTTCTAAAGTTTCCTCTCCTCTGTCCTGCTGGGGTACTGTCGATGAGGACCCACAGGATCTCACGTGACACAGCAGAACTGTCCCAGAGGACTTAAAAGGCTGTTACCTTTACAAGAGATTGGCACGTAGTTATCCTGTGGCGTGGGTGGTGGGTTTGAACCACCAACCTTTGGATTGGGCACCTTTGAGGTGGGGACTGAGCCACAAGGGCCCCCTCTCCTGCAGTCTACTGTCCAGCAGAACACCAGGGGGCAGCTCCACCTGTCAGGCTGGTAGCCTGGTAACAACCTGGGCTTTGCAGTGGCCCCGCCCCAGCGACGTCACCCCCACCTACGTTGTCATCATCTTCGATGGCCTCCCCGGTGAAGTACAGCACCGCTCGGGGAACTATCCTCTCACGGAAGAAGTGGCCGATCTCAAAGTCGGAGGCGAGGGTGAAGTCAGAATCGTCGTCCTGTGGGGAAAGCGCATGTGAGCTTGGTGCTCTCTGAGCCCCGCAGCCCGCCTCACCCTCACCTGTGCTACTGGACTTAGAAACCACCAAGCACCCACATTCCTGGGCAAGCATCACTCTGTCCTTGGAAGCCACTCAGCATGACAGTAAGCAACAGAGGGAAGCAGATAGGGACCACCAGCTCCCTACTGTTCACATAATGCAGGCGTACTGTGAGCCCAAAAACGTGGCCTGAAGCCCTAAGTACACATGTTCGCAGAAGGCAGACACAGGAAATTCCTACCACTCTCCAGCCAACATGGGGAGTGATTGTAAATACATACCAGCTTTGAGGCAGCAAAAATGAATTCATAAAAATTAAGAGCTAGAGTTTCATAGAAAATAATACTTTTACGGACAAAAATCTTACCAGTGATTCTCCTTCCCCAGAAGCTGTAAAAAGAAATAGACAAACCACAGATGTATTACTTGAAAACTAAAAATTTTACCACGAGCCAAAAGAAAGCTCATCCAACAGACAGAACAGACACTGCACAGCAAAGCCACGTTACAAAGACCCTGACTGTGGGTTTCCTCACAGTCTCACAGCTCCCCTCCTCGGCGCCAACACACCCGGGCCATAGGAGCCAAGGTGTCCCAGCTTCTCTGTGACCCCTCTGACCCCACCTGCATCCCAAGCTGCAGCTGGTATGGGGTCTAGTAAGGCAGGGGGAAGGTGAGTGGCCCAGACTTAACAGGGTGAGACACCGTCGTGGCCACAAAAGCCCTGTGAGGCTGAGGCCCTCCACCCACACCCTCTGTGCTGTGTGTGCATCTGGAATGGGGCAAGCGGGCAGAGTGTGGAGAGGTTCTCCCCGTCACACAGCCATGCGCTGCAGGGAGCACACCCATTCGCCAACACCAAGCAGGGGCACTTCTCCCTGGAGACGGGGCTAAGTTAGATTCTGCCATGGCACTACAGGAAAGACACTTGACCATGTCGAGTGACAGGGCGAAGGCCGTGTCAGGAGGCTCTGGGCGCTAACCCAACTCTGAGGTGTCTGCCACAGGGCCCTAACTCTCACAGGTGCTCCTCCTGGGGACTGGTCAGCTTCGGGGGCTGAGTGATGTAAGGCTGTCCTCGCTGGAGTCCAGCTCTCACAGTGACCTCTAGTGTGGTGTTCTGTCCCCACAGGGCTGCCTCAGCAGTCTGCAGCACCGTGTGTCCCGTTGAGGCATGGGTCCTGCGGTGTCAACCCCACCCCAGGCAGAGGTCACCAGGTATCTAAGGCACAGGTGCAGGACGAGGCTGAGACTGTGACCCCAACAGGCATCTCTCAGCATCACTGGCCAGGTTCCCAAGTCACCCTAACAAGGGCTGCTTTGTGACCAAAGGGGGTGGCTGAGCACCCCATCTCCATTCCCACACAGATCCCAGTCATGTGACTTCCACCGTGGCTCCTCCTGCCCCTTTCTTCCTTGCAGGCGCCCAGCCTCTCTCACTGACTGCGGCGGGCTGCCATTCGTGTGGGTGGGTCTGTCCATGAGCAACACTGAGAAAATGTTTTTTTCCTCATGTGCATTATCTCAACATTGCCCAAGCCTGGACTCCATGTCTTCTCAGCCTTCTGCTAAGATGCCCAAGTAATTTACTACCAAGATGATCTGCTCCATCTTGACCAGCTGAAGATCCCATCTTTATCTCCAGAGGCTCTGACCAAAAAAGGTTAGGGTGATTCAAAAAAAAAAACTGAAGCGCCCAAGACAGAGTTCTGACCTGCTCTTCCAAAAACCAGAGTTCCCAGGACCATGGTCACAGGGGACATCAAGCTCAATTGGCATAATATACTACACAAAACATTGTTCCACCTTCTACTTTGGCGAGTAGCAACTAAGATCCTAAAAGCTTGCAAGCTGCCATCTAGATGGAACGATGGGTCTCTCTGCGTCCACAGCAAAGAAGAATGAAGAAAACCAAAGATTCATGGGAACAATTAGTCCTCGTGACTGACACACCATGCGATCCTCAGCCTATACGACGAGACCAGAAGAACTAGATGGTGCCTGGCTACCACTGTCAAACACTCAGAGGGGGATCTCTGTAGGAGGTCCTGGACAGTGAGGGAGAACAATGTGGAACAAAACGCAAAATCATTTGGAAGAAAAAAGGGGGAAGGACCAGGTTTGATGGTCTGATAGAGCTTGGTGGAACCCCTGAGACTATGGCCTCTAGCTGCCCTTCAGGTCTGGAATTGAACCCATACCTGTGACTTCCAGTCAAACAAAAGGCATATGAGTTGAACATTTACCTGAGGTAGATACACTCCTTGGAGAGAACAATCATGGGAGAAAGAAGGGCTGTTTACGCACAGGGAGACAGCTCAGGGGGCAGGAGTGCATGGAGGGATGGACACAGGAAGAGGTAACTATTGGGAGGAAGTGGGAGGGGAGCTGTTGCATTGTGGTAAATCGTAGTCAATGTCATGAGACAAAATGTATGTGAACCTCTATACGGAAAGTGAATTTGCTCTGTAAATTTTAACCCAAATCACAAAAAAAAAAAAAAAAAAAAACCCAGAGCACCAACTACTTGCCTTTGTCAAAACAGAAATGCCAAGGGAACCTCTCGGGCAGTTACAAGCCACAAGGCTGGCAACTCAATCCGCCTAGAGGGGCCTTAGAAGACAGGCCTGGCAATCTGCTTCTGAAAGGTCAGGGCCTTGAGACGCTGTGGGGTAGCTGCCCCATGTACGCACACAGGGCCACGAGTCAGGAGCAGCTCTGCCCCGCACAAGGGGGCACAAGTCAGGATTGCTGTGGCGGCAGCTGACAACCACCAGCTTCTTCCCACGTGCAGACAAGGGAAGATTCCAGAAAACCCCATACGTTCTCCATGAGTGCATGAACAGTAACAGTCTATGAAGGCATCACTCTTGGGCAGATCACTCAAAAGCTAGTAACAATGCCACATAGGTAGAGAGAATTACTGATTTGGGTGAAGGGAAGGGCAATGTACCAAACATGAGTGAGTGATCAACACAGTGGCATTGAGGAAGAAGACGACAGAGACAGTGTACAGGAGGTACAGACAACAAAGATGAACCGTTTTGCACATACAGTACTTATGATGCCAGTGAAGGCAAACACTGATCTACAGATGGGTGGACAGGCTCAACTACTAGGTATGTCTATGCAGGAGGGAGTGTGCCCATGACCATGCACAGGGTTGACAGACAACGTTTCTATAATTTTATCTGTACGTTCTATAAGGATTTCCAGGTATATAGTAAAGCTGACAAGTGAGAAGGTTGTAGTCACTCCTTGGCTATAGCCAGCTACCCACAGGGAGCGAGTAGTTGAACCTGTGGGCTTGAGACCATGGTTGCATGGGACATCAAGCTCAACTGGCATAACCTACTACACAAAAACAATGTTCCACATCCTACTTTGGCGATTAGTGACTGGGATCTTAAAAGCTTGCAAGCTTGCAATCTAGATACAACGATGGGTCTCTCTTCGTCCAGAGCAAAGAAGAATGAAGAAAATCAAAGATGCACGGAAACAATTAGTCCAAACGACTGGTACTCCAAGCAGTCCTCAGCCCATATGACTAAGAGACCAGAAGAACTAGATGGTGCCCAGCTACTACTGTCAACGACTAGGAAAGGGACCAGGTTTGCTGGTCTGATAGATCCTGGTGGAACCCCTGAGACTATGGGCCCTAGCTGCCCTTTGGGTCTGGAACTGAACCCACTCCTGTGGCTTCTAGCCAAAGAAAAGACAGGCATGTTAAGTAGATACACTCCTTGGAGAGATCAATCATGGGAGAATAGACAGGCCACGTATGCACAGTATGACAGCTTGGGTGGCAGTACATCGCAGGGAAAGCCACAGGGAAGAGATAGCTAGGGGGAGAAAATGGGAGGGAAGCTGTTGCACTGTGGGAAATTTGCAGTCAATGTCATGAGACAAAGTGTATTGTGAGCAGCTATATAGAACATGAATTCACTCTGTAAACTTTCACCCAAATCACAAGAAAAATTTAAAGGGTGGTGGCGTGGGGGGAGAGCCAGTAACAGAAAAACAGACCTCAGATCTGCCGAGGACAAACTGCCCTGCCCGGGTGGACAAGCATCTGTGCTGGGAGCTGAAACTGAGGCATGGTATGCCAGCCCAGGAGCCTCTCGGGAATCCAGGTGGGGACTCAGTTCAGCTTTCCCCTTCCTGCTGAAGCCTACTGAAGATGACATATCTACTGCTACATGCTCAGCCCTCAAACCTTGGCCAATCAACCCACTGGGCTTCTGAAAGGCGTCTTCCCCTACCCCCATCACTTGATTGCGCCCGGGACCAAAGTCTCTGGAGACAGCAAACTCAGCAGGCCAGGTGGTCACACGGCCCAAGCATGCCACTACATACCTTTCAGGGGGCTGAAGAAGTTGAAGAAGGAGTCATTGGGCACCTGCTTGGTAATGGTCCTAACAGTGCCCCGGCCCTTGTGCTTCTGCTTTTTCTTGATTGTTTTGACTGTGACGTTTTTTCCTTTCTTCCAGTCAATAGTGCACCTACAGGGACACAGGTCAGCAGACAGCAGTCACAAGACACACAGTCCCAGGGGAAGAGCAATCATAAATACACACCAGCAGCCAACCACAGCTCTACAAAAAACCTTCCTGCCAACTGAGCAAGGCCCGGTATGGGCCCACACCCACCTGTGAGGGCCACGTGAAGGTCAGTGAAAAGGAAAGGCTGGGTCTCCCACCACCTGGGGGACTTGAGCTCCAGTCTTCTGAGGCCACAGAGGATTCCTTCCCCAAGATCCCTCAGCTGCATGCTGACAAGGACTTTCTGGACCAAGTCTAGGCCGTGCAAGCACTTGGCACTCCCACCCCAGCCTGCATTTTAAGCAGGATCATCCGTGCATCCTGAATTGGCAAGGCATGGACGTGCGTAGAGCAAGGACAATGGTAACAGCTGCAAATACTGAGAGCATCAGTCCAAACCAGCTTGTGCTCACACTCAAGCCAAGAGTTCTTTTGAACAGTGTGTATCGTCTTGGACAGAGGGACACATGGCCACCTCTGAACTGTACCTGCTCAGGACCCTCTTAGCAAGGTCACACCTTTGTTACACAATGGCCCAGCCCTAGGAATCACCTTTCAACATGATGGAGCCGTCCGAGTCTAACAGGCCTTAATAACTAACGTTCTGAAGATCCGTGCAGCTCAGTGTAAGGTTCCAGTGCAGAAGGGTCAGTTCCAGGGTAAAAATCCCAGTCTCCAGGGAGGCCAGAGAAATGGATTCTAAATGCAGTCTCTCCTGGTGAACTCACCAGGGTGAGGTCCAAAGCCAACAGTGGTCAAAGGGACCTGGTGAACACAGGTGGGATGCCAGTGCCGACCAGCTGGGGTGTCTACAGAAGGTGCAGCTCGACCCCCTCAGGAACACAGACACTGGGCCACGCGCCCCAACCTTCACATAGCACATGACGCCCCCAAACCAGAAGACCACTGCATTTAACCCTTTGCCTCCTGGGCAAATTGAAGACATTCTGCTTTCGGCCTTTCTACCTCAGCTACAACCTTCTAAAATCACTCCTTGCTTCTGTTTTTGAAAAAAGAAGTCAGAAGGTTGTTTTCTCACCCGTCACAGTCGACAATCTCAGGGCCTTCGAAGGAAAAGGGATCAGCTTTATCGGGCTCAGACTTCATCTTGTACGTTTTTGTCAGGACTGAATTGGTGAAGTAGTCATTGGGTTCAAAGTGGAATTCTAATACAAAAGACTGAAAACAAAACATCACACGTCAACGCCTTGAAATGCGGACACCATGGGCAACATGGGTTGTGAGCCACGGTATTGATTGGGATCTGGCTTTTCCCAAGCCTACCACCATGAGCTCACAGGCACAACCACCCAACAAGAAAAACGCCTTGACTCAATAGCACAAAGTTAAAAAGCAAGTGGTAAGTTGGGGAAAAACTGGTAACACTTAAGCTCACGAGTGGGGGAGCAGGACTCCCACTTGGGAAGCCCCTCAATGATATCAAGCTCTCAGGAGACATCTAGCCCCGCCTGCTACCTGCTCTCACCATGAGGAAGTGAGAGGTAGCACATCCAATGGCGGTCTCCAGGGGAAACCAGGCACCAGGGCCCAGCCCCTCCACTTGCTGGCAGACACATGCTTTGCTTTCTCTGTTGGCCATGAATGTGGGAGGTTGAGGGAGGAGGGATGCATGTGCTGGCCCTCCTGCAACCTCAGCAAGGCCAAGTCCACACCTCATTTACAAAGCACTGGGCAAGTCTGCAGAGACAGACACAATAGAACAGACAGACAGAGGGTACACACAAAGTAGTGGTCACAAACACAAACAAATGTCAACAAGGTATGTGCACCACGGAAGGACACAGCATGTATCCAAGATGCTCCCAGTGGGGGCAAAGCTGACAAGAATCACACCAAATCCTGGCAAATATCTTGGCAGAGCGGGTGCACACATATACTGGAAATCACTTCATGAAGGACAGAAACGGCATCAGGATAAAGTGAAAAAAAGAGAAAAGAACCACAGGGTACATTCTCTGACTCAATGATTCTATGCTGAACGATCTGTTCCAAGAAGCTACCTGGACAAACACAACAATCAGCACATACAAAGACCTTCACCCCAGCCGGGCTTCTGAACAAGGAAAGGAAGGCACTGCTGGGGTCAGCAAATTGTATACAGTCTAGCGTCATGGTGACAAGACTGATTCTGGGCAGTTACTCTCTGTCTCTTGGCCTAAGTTTTCTCATCTGTAAATGCAAGTAACAATAGTTCCTTTGTCCGTGACCTGAGGGTCCACCTGTGGGAACACTGAGCAGAGCCAGGCTTACAGGCAACGCAGCTGAATGGCGGCTCTTCTCAGTGCAACAGTAACACTATAAACTCAGAAAAAAGTTAACTTAAAAAAAAAATACTTCTTTAAATGCTCAGAACAGCAAAGTTATCAAAAACCACACACACACACACACACACACACACACACACACACCCCCTTCCTCCTCCTCCCACAGTCTTCAATACACAAGTCAGTCCAATCAAATGAGTAATTAAAGAAACGTGAAACAAGGTCTTTTTGCCTGGCAGAGTAAACATGGCCACTGCTGTTTTAACACTACTGCTCCCTCCCCTCTGCCTGAGAAAGACCCCACTTGGTCTAAAAATGACCCATGCAGAGTCGGGGGACAGGCACATGGGCTTCTCTGTACTGAAGCTTTACCTCTTATCCAAGGTGAAGTTATGGCAAATTAAAAGTTTAAGAATCAGACCACCAACAAAAAAGGAAGTGTAGCAACATACCGGAACCGCCTTTGGGCCTTAGAACATTCGTACCCTTTGACCCCGGCATTATATTGAAAGGAACCTAAACTAGGATCTTGCCAGCAACCGCCTCATGGATCAGGGCTCAAAGCTGCTCACCATGAGGCGGTTATTCAGAATGGGAAGCGGGGGCGTCTATCTGGGGCCGTCATCTGTTAAATAAAACCCAGCACAGCCCATGCCAACACCTCTGCCCCAGCCAAGCCTACCTTTCCTCTCAGGGGTTAACTGGGAAAACAGCATCAACTGTGTGTACAGCACCGTTCCTATTTTCTGAGAGGGACATGTGCACACAGCACAGACAGGCACAGCCCAGGTGTGGCAGCCCACGGAGGTGCCCGGAGCCACACACTGCACTGCACACGCCACGCCTGCTCACTTCTGAAGTGACAGGACTCTGCTGTGCTTTTCCTTGCAACCTTAACGTCTACAGATTTTCTATTATAATAGTTTACAAACAAAAACACTGACCAGAGAACCCATTAAGCTGTCGCCAGCTCTTCCTGGAAGACGCCGATTCTGCAGATGCTCTCTCTCCATGATCCTGTGTCCTCCAAACATTCCATGATAAACACATATGATGTCACAGAACCAATCCAAAAACCAAACTCACCGTCATCAAGCAGATTCCAACTCACAGTGACCCCCTTTGTGTTTCCGAGGCAGTATCACTACAGATGTAGATTACCCAGTCTTCCTTCCAGAGTGGTTGGTGAGTCTGAACCGCCCGCCTTCTGGTTAGCAGTCAGATGCCTCATGCACTGCACCACCAGAGCTCCTCAATGTCACGTTTAAGAAAGTGAAAACAACTCAGCAAGGCCCCTGGCCCGACGCAGGGGGAAACCTCTGATGGACACGTGGGCCAAGACAGAACCATGGGCCCAGGGACCCAACACACAGGTAATAAAGCGCACCAGAAGGAAGCAGAGCGCCAGGAAACCGAGTCTGATGGGGCGTCGGCGTGAAAGAAGGGTAGGGAAAACCACACAAACTCTTAAACTACCCGTGAATACACACAGAAGAGAATTCACACCAGCACAGCAAACCACGGACCTGCAGCCTCCGGCCTCTAGAGGGCACTCCAGCACAGCCGAGCGTGCGCTTCCGGGCACAGGGAGCGGAGGGGAGGTGAGCGCCCCCTGCAGCGCTGGGCTGCGGCCCCCAAAAGGCCTCAGTCTGCAGTAGGTTCAGTGCAGGCTCCCACTCCACCCAGAGGGCCACGAGCCCAGTGCCAGCTTGGGCGCTGGAGTAGCCAAGAAAGGGGACCGGGCAGACCCGGCCAATCTATCAGGTTGTGCCTACTGGGCTGGAAGCAGAGAGACCCATTCACACGGGGCCTCAGTTGCTGGCTGGGCAAGATGGCCTGCAGCCATGACAGGGAGGAGAGAAGGGACCAACTCCGAGTCCCAGCACTCCACCATCCCCACACCAAAGCCAACCTGCCGGGCTCTGCTGCTAAGATGTAAACCTGGAACCACAGTCAGTCTCTGTGGCCCGCAACGGCAGCTGTTACCAACACCACCAGTGTAGAGGACGCTCAGCCACCAATCCTTCAGACAGAAACCAGAACGAGCTCAGGTCCAACAGGTTTCACTAACTGGCAGGCAGACCGCAGACACCCGCACCACATGGGACTGTGCCCATCACTGCCAGGCATCTTTAAAGATGTGTCTTATGACAATCAGTTACCTTGAGAAACCATTCTTGAATCTTCTCCACCTGCAATAATTCTCCAAGCAACACCTTGGCTTCCTGCTAGAAGTGCTGCTCCCACTGGTACACGTACCCCCTGTGCATTCAAGCCTTTCTGGCAGACACCAGGACCTCATCAATCTGTGAGCCTCTCAGCAGGAGTCTGATGTCACCCCCTCTGAGAGAGGACACAAACTCATATGGCCAGCAGAAAGAACAGTGAGGAGTCAAAAGCTCCTGGAGCTCACTGACTGGATTGTGGCCTGAGGACAGTGACAGTCAGAGATCAGCTTCAGCACCACAGAGCCAGTCAGACGCTGGGCTGGCAGAGTCAGTGTGGGGCCCAGGCCAGGGCTTTGCTAAGAATTCCAACTCTCCGGGGAGCAGTCCTGGCTCAAGTGGACCCAGCAGACAAGCGACAGGGTTTGCTGTCTGGCCCAACCCCAAGGCCCTTGCTCTTAGCGGTGCAACCACTCTCATCCACCTCGTACTCACCATAGGCTGTCCAGGGTCCGAGAACCTCACTTTAATATCCTGCAGGTGCTTCAAGATTGGTTCATCATACTCCTAACCACAGAGAGAGAGAAGTTTAAAAAACACTTCAAAAAATAACCCCCTATCTCCTGACATGACTCCTGCACACCCCCTGCTGTCTCCTAACCATGTGACCCCTGCACATACTCCAGACACTAAATAGCAATGTTGCCCCTGCCAAGGAACAACTCCCAAGGACCCTCACCAAATCTGTTCACCAGCAACCAGTCGCAGAGTGGCAGAAAAGAGGTGGTACGTGCTGGCTGCCATGTTTCTCTGCCACTGACACCACCATCGCCCCCATGACAGCACCTGCAACGCCCGGAGCAAAGTCCGGACTGACTTCCGACCCCCCAGCCCTACCCCGCTGATGCCAGCCATGCCACCAATTAAATATTCGGAAGACTGGAGTTTGGGCATCAGAAGGTGGTGAGGTCAGCTACTAATCCCAGTACATGTGTGATTAATTGGTTACTTTATCAAGAACATGGACAAACTGTATGCGACGCAGTCTGTACATATGACCCAAGAGTGTCTCCACGATGGCCATGTGCTCACAGGGGCCAGTGCAAACACTCGGAATTTACCAAAGCCTGTGGTCTGAGCAAGGCCACGTGAGGAAAACCAGGGAACACACTGCTCAGCACTCCAGCTGTCGTCTGCGAGCCCTGGGGCTTCAGCTGTAAAACCAAGTCTCTGCTCTACACCTGCTGTCTGGAGATGTGCCCCAAGATTCCCAGAGGCGACACAGAGTTTTCAGAGTGGATTCTGGTAATTGTCAACTTTCTGATTTAAGTTCTTTTAAGATTATAAAACAATCCAACAGCAACAACAAAAAGGCAGTCAGTGGTTCTCCAGATGACAAAGGCAGCTGACCACTTTGTGTGTGGAGTGTCAGTCCCTAATCTGTCACCGTCAGGTACAGGCTCTGATGCACATGGCTGGGTGGGTGTACAGTTTGGCTCTAAGCTTTCTCAGTGAGTGTCACCAGCAGCAAGCTTTCCAAGCAAGGCCCGGGCTCTTCTATCCCGCCCTCAGGGAAGCAGCAAGCACCAGCATTCTCCCCCAAGTGCAGGGAGGCCCTGTCAACCAGTGGAGAATCTTAAAAGGAGAGAACCCTCTGGATCCCGGAGCAGAAGGCAACACCCAACGGTTTGCAGACACTCAAAGCTGAGCACCCAAAGACCCGGCCCTGTAGCATCTTACGGACTAGATCTTAACACTGTGACCCCCAGATCTGACAACTCTCCCCACGGGGATATATTTTGGATGTGTTCCAATACAAAATGAAGAGACGTGGAGCTGGCTCTGTCTCTGAGATTTACAGTTTGACCAGAATGGGACCCAGTGCACCTGCTACCCTTATCTGCCTCCGAGTTATGGACAGTACCAAGGATGTCCTCAGCAGTCTCTCTCCTCCCACCATGCAACGACAACACACATTCCAGAGTCTGTAAGACAGCAAGCAGCAAGGCCTTTATAGACCCACACAAACCCAGGTGCGGGGACCATGAATAAGAAACTATATTAAAATACCACCTCCTATACAGTGCCTAAATCATCTGGACTGCTAACCAGAAGGCTGGCAGTTCAAACCCAGCAGCTGCTCCTTGGGAAGAAGACTGGGAAATCTACTTCCGTAGAGATACCATCTCGAAAACCAAAGGAGGGGTTGCTATGAGTCAGATCAACTCAATGGCACAGAGTTTGTTTTTTTGCTCTCAAATATCAGTGCAATGCCCTTAACTCAGCAGCAACAACCCCTCCCCCCACACACACTAAGTACCCGGCTGTACAGTCAGGCATACAGGCTGCCCATCAAACAACAGGTCCTCAACCCAACACGTGCCATCAACAAGCACGTCCACAGCCCTTCTGCTCCAAACGCAGAGGAGCTACCTCAATGCAGCCTAGAGCTAGAGAAAAGGCAGAGACCCAGACCACCTGCCCAGTGCACCTGCACCTCCACAGCCCCTGGGCCCTACCCATCAGAGTGAGAGCCACACTGATCTGTGGACAGCTCTGCCACCTGCTCCCCCGGCTTGGGGGTTTTCAACTCTTGGGCACAGACTCCCTTGAGGAGCTCTAAACACTGATGCCTACCTAGGCCACCTGCCCTTAAACCCTCCCTGATGTGGCCTGGGGTGGAGGGCACTGGTATTACTGTTAACTCTTCAAAGTTCTGCTAGTGATGCTCACACACAGGGTTGTCCTGGGCCCTGGACTACAGATGACACAGTTCCCACCTACTTCTGACTCAAAGCCCTCTCATCTAGGTAGAGCCGGGTCTTCTGAACACTCACCTTCTCACACCAAAGGGAGCCAGCTGAGGAGGACTGGTGCTGCACCAATTCCCATGTGTCAGCTCCTTCCCCAGGTTTAAAGGAGAACAGCAAACATATCCTTCCCTCCCTGTGTCGCTGAAAACTGGCTCAAGCAAAGGACAAGCACGTAACAAGGGGTGAGGGGTAAGGAAGCAGCTTCTGACACCAGTTAAACTCCACACAAATGACCACATAGCTGTCAGCAAACACCACCCAGCTATGGCCAGCTAAGAAGCCCTGTACTAACAGCCAGAGGCCTGAGTGGCCCAGTGCACATGGGACCACGTCTCCAGATTTTTGAGCAACTAAGACTATGTCACAGATGGACACAGTGGCTTCAAGGGTGGGCTCAGGCAAGGACTGTGAGGCCGGAGCAGAGTCGGGCAACACTTTGTTCTGTCATACATGGGGATGCCATGAGTTGGAGCTGACTTGAGAGTACCTAACAACAAAACCAAGTCAGCAAATCAGCCAGTGAGAGTCAGGGCAGGACTAAATTCTGTAGTCCACAAACTTCTACTGAAACTCAGTTCAAAGACAAACCCATTAACTTCACACTGGTCCACCACCTCACCGTGAAAAAGACATGAAGAAATGGAAAGGCTGCTGAGTGTCCCTTTTTCAACAGACCTCAAGAGAAGCAGTGAGAAAGCACGACAATGAGCAAAGCTGCACAGCAGGCCCACTGGGTCCCAAGACTCCTAACCCTCACCCCCGAGAAGTTAAAGTGTGTGCGTGTGTGTGTACGCACGTGCGCTTTGACATACACACATTTAAGTACAACACACTTCACACCTTCAAATGTGCTCCTAGTTTCCCACTTGTCCACATGCCAGCAGGACAGAGAAGGGGTCTTGAGGCTACCTACCTACCAGGCTTTCCCCAAGAACCACAGGCTACTTTGCAAGTAAAGCCACAGCCCTGGTGATACCAGGGGTGAAATGGTGGCATCCTGGCCCAGGGTCAGCGCTGAACTGTACGAGACACACATCAAGGCTAGCGCCGTCCCTATGCCTCCCCCATGTGGGCGAGGTGAAGACGACTCATGTTCTTGGCCCAGAAGTCGCCTTCCTACCAACTCCAAACATCCTCCAGGCTTGCTGTCCATAAGCAGCCCCCAAAAAGTAATGTGGCAAGACTAAAACCGCTTTGATTACCTGTACTAACTCACTCAGCATGTCTACGTTTCTGAAGATGGTGAACCAGAACTCCGGAATTCCTTTGGGATTTGGCTCTTCTGCTGTTGCTGCTTCTTTTTCTGCTATGACTACTTTATTTTTCACATCTCCCTGAGAAAAAGAAAAAAAAAAGGTAAACTAGAATCCTGATCACAGAGCAGCAGGTTTACCGGCTTTCAGGGCAGCTCAGAACCCTGCACTCTTTTTCAAAACCCTCTGTGACTCTGCCAACTCCAGAGCCCGAGCCTGAGCCTGGCACAGCAACATTCCAACGTTTGCAAGGAAGGAGCATTCAAACATTACTTTCAAGGGAGCAGCTAAAACGGTACCAAGTCACTCTAGCTGGGAAAAGCTGCCTGCTCCTGACTTTAGGAAAGGCCACCCTGAGAGAAGTTTACCATCAACCCTACATGCAATTTCAGATATGCAGAAATGATGTTATTGTTTAGGCAGGCAAATTCGGCTCCAGAACGAAACGTCTCACCCGAACTAAGAATGTGACCTCGGATTAAAATTTGGGAGAAAAAAAGTAGTTGCAGTTTAAAGTATTTGCTTGTACTCAATTGGCATAACATGCAACACAAAAGTTGTTCCACCTCCTACTTTGGTGAGTAGCAACTGGGATCTTAAAAGCTTGTAAGCAGCCATCTAGATGCAACAATGGGTCTCTCCCCGTCCAGAGCAAAGAAGGATGAAGAAAACCAAAGATTCAAGGAAATAATTAGTCCTAGCAACTGGTACACCATGCAATCTGCAACCTATATGACTATGAGACCAGAAGAACTAGATGGTACCTGATTACCACTATCAACCACTCAGAGAGGGATCTAAGTAGGAGATCCTGGATAGACAGGGACAGCAATGTGGAACAAAACTCATAATCATTTGAGGGGATAAAGAGGGGGGGCAGGTTTGCTGGTCTGATAGAGCCTGGTGGAACAACTGAGACTATGGCCCCTAGCCGCCCTTCAGGTCTGGAATTGAACCCACATCTGTGGCTTCCAGCCAAACAAAAGATAGGCATATGAGTTGAACATTTACCTGAGGTAGATACAATCATGGAAGAAAGAAGGGCTGTTTATGCGCAGGGAGACAGCTCAGGGGGCAGGGGTGCATGGAGAGATGGACACAGGGAAGAGGTGGCTGTTGGGAGAAGTGGGAGGGGAGCTGCTGCCTTGTGGTGAATCACGGTCAATGCCATGAAACAAAATGTATGTGAACTGCTGTGTGAAAAGTGAATTCGCTCTGTAAATTTTCACCTAAATCACAACTTAAAAAAAAAATTGCTTATAGCAGAACCAGCCCAAGAAACTGCCAAGCAACTTCTCCATGCAACTGTAAGGAAGCAACTGGTAAGAGTCGGTACCCAGGCAATGAGCAAACATTAGCAGGCATTGAAGAAAGTTACTCAGAGCATCCTGACCCCAAGCAAAAGGGGGCTAAGTATTTAAACACAACACCAACAGACATCATGTGAGACCATGAACGTGTCCGCAGATGAGGCTATTATGAGCCAACAGTAATGGGGGAGTTTCTGAGATAAACAGCTGTAGGGTTTTCTTGAGCACTAAAAACCCAGACTCCTAGCTGCACTGATTCCCACCCATGGTTCCAGAAGGCCAGCTTGTGCACGTTTGAAAAGATCCAAACACAATGGCTGCACACACTAGCACACACTTAGAAATGCACCTTGTCTCCCAGACATAACGTCAGACAGACGCCACCTTGACAGTCTTGTGTTATTCTGGGAATTTCTGTGGCACTGGAATGGAACCCATCACCAGCAAAAGTCTGTGAACAGGTTACGAACAGTGCAAGCAGCCACCAGAACCCTCAGTGCTACCAAGCCAACACTGGCCAGACCCACTGTGGTTGGTCTGTTACATAAAGCATGCTGTTTCACTGAGGCTGTCAGTCCTTAGCAAGATGGCCCAGGTGCTTCCAACACCATGTTCTTGATGCCAAGCCCATGCCATTCCTCACTGCAGCTCTCATTAGTGTGGACATGGACGGGCATCTCCCAGTTGGTCTGCACTTCCTCTTGGCCCCCCATCTCAAGACCCCACTGTACACAGGGCTACAGACGTTGTAGCCCTGAACCCAATGGCTCCATCACCAACTGCCCCACGGTCACTGTCACACAAGGACTCTTAACAGCCCCATCCAATGAGGAAGTTGCCATCAACTGTGAAAGTGCTTCTCAGCAAAGTCTAACTGTGACTAAAACCATCAAAAATGTTACTTATCTGTAACAATTTTGAAAAGAACGACTCACAGCCAACTTATCCTCCTCTTCGTTTTCACTGTGCCATTCTGCTTCTGCGTCTGTCGGCTCAACGTCGCCAGTGATGAACTCTCTCCTCTGCAGCAGAAGAAGACCTTATTAGACTCATGCCAGGTTATGTGGAAAGTCGGGGAGTAAGATAACAAGTCTGCAATGTCTATGAACAAGACTTCCAAAACGAGGTGCTTTCATAATGGTCATTTTAAAATTCTAAGTTTGATAATGAAAAGAAAAACACTGAAAAAGTGTGTTGACAGCATCCGTAAGCAGCCACTTACCTTGTCAAAGAGAGGTTGGTATAAAGCTGCGTATTTTCTTTCCAAGTCGTGAACTTCCTCATAGAACTTGGCTTCTATGTGGGCGCATCTCACCTGGAGCTGTTTCAAGGCATTAACTCTTCTCTTCACTGCCTTGGGTAAACTGAACGAGGGAATGAGTGCATCAGCCTCATGCCCACAACGCCAGGCAGCAGACTCCTCAACCATATGACACTAAAGCAGGTTTCCGTGGAATTAACACTCTTACTATGAAAAAAAACTGAAAAATTCAATGAAGGACAAATAGCCCAAAGGGAAAAGCTGGAGGAAGAAATGAAAACCCACAGGAGAAAACAGGAAACACACCAAGGGTCCAGCATGAAGAGAGGTTCAAGCCTGTAAAACACCCAGCAGACTGAGAATGGCAGAACTGGCCGCTGTCCGTCTGCCCCTCACCAGACTGCTGTCTGACTATCCAGTGCTCCCGGGATCGAGAACACAGCCATCCTCCGACAGACAACTCCCCAGGGCCTACTAGCAAGCTTCTTGAGAATGGTCTCTGGCTCCGGTTATTCCACTTCTAAGAATTTACCCTGAGGAAACAACTCAACATATCCACCAGTGGATTATTTCTTTAAGCAAAAAACTGGAAATCATCTGACAGGTGGAAAGGATTGGTGCATCCCCAATCACACTTCAAAGAACAGTCAGCACCGCGCAGAGTGCTCACCACAGCGAGGGGGAAATGTAAGAATCACAACAGGATGGCATCCGCTCTCCTCTAGAGCCAGACAAGGCTGATTCCCCTCTGCCTTTCAATGCTTTCCCACATCTTTAAAAACAGTCTGCTACCTTTTTATCATTAGAACAAAACCCCATCAGCACGCAGCGGGCAGGGCTCGGGCCCTGCATTCTGAGGACTGGTTTACATACTTCACTTGCCTGCCAACAGGCCCCGTGCAGCAGCGACACTGGCGACTCCTGTGCACACGACAGCCTCAAACATGCAGCTTAACATCCTGGGACCACTGCTAGCCGCCAACAAGGACAAAGCAGAGGATCAACCAAACACACCCGCTGACACCTGCACCTCTTTTCTCGTTAATGACGCCACTGAAAGGACTGTCTGAATTCTGCCATCTTCCTCACACAGGACAAACAAAAAGGCACTCTGAACTGGCCTCGCCCCTGCCCCAGCACCCCACAACTGTGGCTCTTCCCCAGGCAGGCTGAGGACATCTTCACACAGGAGTACTCCACCCTGCCTTCCAACACTTGCCTATATCTTAGAAATGGCCTGGCTGTGGGACACCTACAAATCAGAAGGAGACAAAAGACCTCCCCCCCGAGAGGTTTCCTCAGCAGACGCCTCTGCCACCCACCCCGTTTCTAAAGCCCGGAAACCAGCAAACACCGTTCACTCACTCTCCGCTCGGTGCCAACATCACCGAGTCCTAGGGTGATGGTCTTCAAGCAGCTCTCAAAACCTCCCCCACCTAAGACAGTGTCAGGGAACCGGTGGATAAGGACAAACCCCAAGTCACCGTCCAAGGGACATCAGCACAGCAATGGGGGCAGGTGGATCAGTGTAAGGTGAGGTCCAGCAATGGCCCAACCCTCCCAAAACGAAGACAGGCGGGCTCGAGAGGAGCTGGTGCAGGGCCCAGGGATGGGTGTCCACACATCTGCTATGCAACATAACCAGAACACAAACTTCTTCCAAAACTAAAATCTAAAAGCAAAGATGCTGGCATGACAGCCAAAGTGGGTGAGTCAGGGAGGAGGGTGCCTCTCAGCTACGTCACGAGGTTCCGGGAACAGGCCTGGTCCCCTGCCAGTTGCCCCTTGTCCCTCCCGCCTCTCAAACCCCCTAGGTGGCACTGTGCACACTCCTGCATCCCCATGACCTGCGGAAGCCCAGGGCCTGGCATGCAGCAGGCATTGTCTGCCAGGAAAACTGCCCTCACTCCCACCCTGAGGCACTGGAGAGTGGTGTGTGCCTTGTTCCATCTTGTTCTGTCAGTTGTATCAAAGCCTCACCCCCTGTGTACTTACGTCTCAATGTAGCTCGATGGCGTGTGAGCAACATTTTCAAGTCGTTCCTGCAAAGCTGCCAAAACTTGAGGGTTCTGCATCACCTGATCTGTGAGCTTCTCTAGGAAGAAGTCAAAGCAGGACGGGGCCTGTAAGACACGCTCCCTGCAGACCAGCCAGGGGCTGGCGATCTCACATGGTCTAACTGCACAACTCTGCCTGCTCTCTTTAATATCTAGATAAATAGCCAGATGGTTGTTGCTCCACCAAGTACCTGGCCAAGAGACTCTGGACATGTCACAGGGATAGGCAAGATAGGGGTGTGTATGTGTGTGTGTAGGGGGCGCTAGGAGCAGGGAGACACACACAGGCAGGCAGGACCCGGATGGGGTCCTGGATGTAGGTGGCACAGCTGTAGAGGACATGCTGAGAAAGCCAGGGACCATGAACACAACTGCACATTAGAGAAAAAGCTGGCACTGGTGTTGGCTTTCGCACCCGTGGTCATGGCACCATGCTGATGAGGACTTGGCCCAGTGTCCAGAAGGCTGACAATTGTTGCAGGGCGTCAGGATGGCCACAGCTTGCTTTCAAACAATTCAGGAGAAATTGTAGGAAGTGGAGACAGATTTAAGAATGGGGAGGAAGGATGACGTCACTGGAATTTGTTTCGTATCATCAAGGGGGACAAGGGTAAAGATACGGACACAACTGGCTACTTCGACATCAAGGCTGATCAATGGGTAGCCAGAAAGTTTCAAAAGCCATTCTCTTGACTTGTATACAGTTTGAACAAAGGTATTTTTGAAATGAGGTTCTGGTTTTCATTTAAATCACTAACCATCCTACAGTCCTGAAGCCGTGTGATGTTGTGCTTTGACTCTTGTAACATAAGTTTCCACAGAGTTGGTGCCCCACCCTCTCATGCAAAACCATCGTCAGTTTTTCCCGTACGGTGAGCTCACCTTTGTTATTGGCATTTTTAGCAGCTTCCAAGGAATCAGAAGGAACTCCGTCTGAAGAACTAAAACAACATTTTAAAAGTATTACTATAAAGAAAGATCAAGTAGACAAAAAAAAAAAAAAAACCCACCTTTCAAGTTAAGAACTGGCCGATGTGCACATGTGTCATCAGACACTTTCCTCTGTTACTGAAATTAACACCCCCCCCAACGCCTCCACATTTAATTCCCAAACCCAGCCAAAGCGTCTTTTTCTACAACTCCTTTCCTCAAAACTCTACTCCCAGCCCTCAAACCAAAAGCACTAACCAAACAAAACCAACATGCACGGTGAAGCAGCGGTGCCCAGTAGCTCTGCGAGCTACCATAAAGCCAATCTCTAAAAAAGTACGAACTGCAGAAACACAGGCCCAACAGTTTTCAAAGATGCCTGGACACACCTCGCTCACCAAAACTAAAACACACTATGCACCAAACGTGAGCAAGAGGAACCTGCTATATAGATCCTAAAGAAGTGAGAGGCAGGATACAACAGACAGATACACACCCATGGTCATCGCAGCACTATTCACAACAGCAGAGACGGAAACGACCTAGGTGCCCCTCAACAGAAAATGGACAACCAAACTACACTACATACACACAACAGAATACTGTGCTGTGGAATCTGTAAAACACTACGTAACGTGGACGAACTGGGAGGACTTATGCTGAGTGAAGTAAGTCAATCACAGAAAGACAAATACTGTATTAGTCCACTATTGCAAAAAGTCAAAGTAAAGTTTATACAGAGAAGGAAATTTCTTTGTTGGTTACCAAAGATAGGATGGGGGGAGGCTTAATTCATAGACAGGGTGTGTGTGTGTCAAGTATCTATATATATATATGTTGTTGTTGTTATGTGCCATCAAGTCGGCCCCGACTCATAGCGACCCCTCCTTGGGTTTCTGAGGCAGTATCACTACAGAAGTAGGATTGCCCAACCTTCCTTCCGAGGAGTGGCTGGTGGGTTTGAACCACCAGCCTTCTGGTGAGCAGGCAAGTGCTTTAGCCACTACGCTACCAGAGCTCCTCTCTATATATATATACACGTATGTATACGGAAACCAAAGATTATTAGAGGTTACCGGGGTAGGAGGGAGGGGGAAAGGGGAAGCTTTTGTTTGGGGGGCACTGAGTTTATGCTCACAGTGGTGGGATATTCAGGAAAAGGAGAGCAATGATGGTGGCACAACGTGAAAAATGCCACCAACGTCCCTGAGCTGTAAATGGGGAAGCGGTTATGCTGGCGGATGTCTTGCTGTGTACGTTTTCACCATGATAAAAGTAAAAAACAAATGAAATAACAATAAAAAAGGAACCCACTACACTTCAGAACGATCAAAAACCCCACACACTCTTTCCCCAGAGCCCAGGAGGCTGGTGTGAGACAATGGAGAGCCTCCACCCGGTGGGGTGTTCAAGCTGGGTTGACGAGACAGCCCCCACACAAAGGTCTGGGAGTGTCCATACTGGAGAAGCACTTCCTGTGGTCTTGTTCAAATAAACTGCCTCACGCTGGAAGCAGCTTCTCAAAAAGGAGCCACCAGCAAGCGCTTGAACACACCCTGCCAACTGGAAGGGTTCCAGGCAGCCAGCTCAGCTCTTGCTCATCAGGGAGATTTTAAAACTGCAACGAGGAAGTCCCCGGGGCTTACCTGTTATCTGCCATCTGAAGGCTTTATCCCTGCAAACGGAAGAGTTGGAATCATTAGCACCTCTACTATGCACAAAGCTTTGCTCCTGGATGCTGTCGCTAACAGGTTGTCTGTGGGGATGGAGATGACTCGAGGGGGCATGGGGGAACAGGGGTGCGTGCTCTCTATCTGACTAGAGTTCCTGGTTACCTGGGGGTTTACAGCCACCAAAACTCACCAAGTTATACACCTAATATTGTACATCAATCACTCTGGGTAAATTTTACTTCATAAAAACTCATTCTTTCTCAGTAAATGTGAACACCGATGTTTCTTATAGTTCTCAGGGGCTTGGGAAGGAGATAGTGGGAATTCTCTCAAGGGGCACAGAGGTTGTTTGGGGTGATGACAAAGTTTTAGAAACAAATGGGGGTGATGGCTGCCCAGCAGTGACTGCAAGTAATGCCACTTATTACACACTGAAAAATGTTTCAGACGGCAAATCGTGTCCCAGCGTCTGCCACAATGAAAAATCCATCTCCACCTCGGTGCATTCCGAGAGACAACCACTGACCCCAGGAGCCAGCAGACGCAGGTCTACCTGGAGTCTGCTCACCAAAGCTCCTGAAGCAACCACGGAGTGTGGAGTTCACAGTAAGCTTGGAAGTCTCCTGGAAGCAGCGGACTGTTGGTTAACTATGCCTCCTTCCTTAGCTATGCTGGCCAAGCCCAAATGCCAAGCTTCAGAGGCAAACAAACTAGATTTGAACTTGTACTAGACCAAAGGAGACTAGAGGACCTACAATCATTCTGTATTCAATTCAATGCCATTTGTCTTGTTCTTAATCAGTTTTTTATTTCAGCAAAACACATTTTTAATTTTCAACACTTTACACTTTCTCAAAACGCTAAATGATTTGTTTTAAAAAAGCAGATGAAAACCCGAGGAAGAAAATAATATAACAAACATGCAATGGCTACCAGCCACACCCATACCACTGCAGCTACCCAACCAGAGCCATGGGACCCTTCAACAGTCCCCCTGTGCACAGGGCCCAAACCCATCACACACAGCCCTCCCAGCCCTCTTCAGTAAGGGACAGAGTACAGAGGGTGTCTTTGTCAACAATCCAGTATTCAATTAGTCACGGTTTGTTACCACCTGCCAGCCTCTGTTTATTTCATTTAGCAAGCCTTATTGTTGTTCAAACAAAAAGTTAAGCTTTGAGCTGACTTTTCCAAAGATCTCTCCCAGAGTCAAAATCTCTCACTAAAGCTACAATTTTAAACTTGACTTGGTCAGCACATTCCCATCATGACATAAATGAATGTCCTGCTTTTATTTCCGTGAGACACTCAATAAATTTATTTATGGAGTGTATTTTTACTCCTCACTGTTTTCTGTTTACTCCCTATTTTCATGGGGAAACAAAATTTAAATATTTATA